CGAGGCTTGAGCAGGTGGGAGCCTTCGTAGAGCCACACCTTGAAGAAGCGGCCCTTGTGGTAGACGACAACATGCCTGCTGTCCGTGAGGTGCTGCAGCATGTCTGCGACAGGCCAGTGGGTGGGCTGAGGCAGGAAGGCAGGGAGCACCCTCCTCCTGCCGCCTCTCCACCCTGCACCGGCCCACCAGCCTCGCACTCAGTGGCCCGTGTAGACCCTGCTGTGTCAGGCCTCCTGGCCTCCTTCCCCGGAGGAATCTGCCGGCACTAAGCCAGGCTCTGGGCTGGGAGCTTCCGTATTTCTCATTTAATGCCAACAGCAGTCCTGTGAGGCATTTCACAGAAGAGGAAACCAAAACTCTAGGAAATAACACAGGCTGTCCCAGCATCAGACATGCGGTCTGCAGCTCAGCCTGCCTGGGACGAGCCCACCCCTCCTCCCCACAGGCTCCTGGAAGGGCAGGCCCAGCCAGGGCAGTGGCAGGCCTCCTGCTGCTCTTCACCCCAGCCTACCTTCCCCGCACTGGGAGCCTCTGCAGGGAAGGGGCTCTGTTCAGGGCCTCTCGGGGTCCTGGCACCGGCCCTGTGCCTCTAAATAGTATGTATCTACTATTGGTCAAAAACTGACTTTTTTGCAGTTACACGACCCCGAGAAATCGAGGATGCCTGGTGACCAGCAGGCAGTAGGGCACCTAGCCCTGGTGGGCCCACAGCTGGGAGGGAGGGGCTCCATCCCAAGGGCTCCCCACAGGTGCCTGGCCAAGGTCGTACCTGCGTCCTTCCCTGGGATCCGGGTGGTGTTGAACATCCTCTCCATCTGGTAGGAGCACATGGGCACGATGCCAAGCGCCATCACCTGGGAGGAAGGCCCAGCTCAGACCCCGGCCTCCTCTCCGGGCCACACCCTCAACCCAATCCGACTCACAGGCTTGATCTCTTCACGGTCCAGTTTACGGCGATACATGATCATGGCGTGGACGGCGTTTCCCAGGCGGGCCGCCTGCACGTCTGTGTTCTTGACAAGCACTAAGTCCTACAGTGACAGAGCAGGGCCTGCAGGGTGGCTGTGACAGGGGTGCACAGTGGCACCTCTCTGTCCCCTTTCCGCAGTCTGTCCTGCACACCCTGTGAGAGTGAACTGCCAGAGATGAAAGGCACAGCTGATCACGTCACCCCCCGCCCCAGCTTCAGCCTGAGTTGCTTTTCTAAACCCGGTGTGTTTGTTAATGTTTTGTTTATTTTCCTTTGAGAAAGGCGTTCCATTACTACAAAATAGCTTAAAGCCTCTGGTGGACAAAGTACGGGTAGGTTTCTGGAAGGGCAGCTTTGTGGAGGAGGGGAAGGCCAGCACGCAACTGAAAATGGGCTCTAGAAGCAGGAGTGGAAGGTGTGGAGGCCTGTGGCTGGGCAGCAGGGAGGCCCAGCTGGTTGCGCACAGCCTTACACTGGGAGCAGGAGAAAGCCTGTCACATGGGGCAGGGACCAACAGGGACCTCCTGAGCTCTGAGAAGCAGCCCTGTGTTTGTACAGTGACACGGAGACGTTGCTTAAGGAAGTTTCCTAGTAATGACGTCAGGACAGCTGGGAAGCCGTGACTGGAAAGCCAGCGAGGGAAGCAAGGAAGGGAGGGACAGAGCCTGGGCTGGGCATCGCTGTGAGCCTGAGTTGCTCTGGGAGTGACAGTGTCAGGCTTTGGAGTCTACTGGGTTCTCCACATCCTCAGTACCGCCGTCATCTGTAAGCTGCTTTCTGAGTATTCTTCCAGGATATGCCCCGCTCCATCTCCCCTTTCTTTCAGGCCTCATCCCAGGACCCCTACTTGCCCACAGAAACCACCACCAGGGCTCTGGGATGTCCTCCAGTTCCTCTGCCCTGAGACCAGGGCTGTGGACAGAGCTGAGTACACAGGAGCCCCACTTCTTACCATGACGTAATAGTTGCTGTTCACCATGAGGGGGGTCCTGCCTCGAAGGTAGACATACTCCTCCCACCAGTCACTCACCTGTGGGTGGGTGGGAGGTTAGAGCTGGGTCGGAGTGGGGTTGTGGGCAGCCAGGACCCAGGGTGGGTGAGGGTCAGCCCATGAGGTGGAACTCACATAGTTAGTTGCCCACCACGACTTGAGTACCAGGTACTTCTGCAGCCTGGGGGCAGTCTTCTCCTGGAATTCCTTGGCCAGCACCTCCATTCGGCAATATTCCTCATCATCCAGTAAGTGTTGCACAGACTCTAGGTACTGTCCAGCCAAGTCATTGTCCGTGTGAGGGTCAGTCAGCAACACTTGCCTCAGTCCTGACCCTCTTCCAGCCCCAGCCCCAGTGCTCCCTCTCAAGCCCACTCTTTGCAGGGGACAGTCCCTCGTGTTTGGACAAGTCCTCTGAGTTCAACCTGCCCTGCCCACTGGGGTGCCTGACCAGGCCCTCACCCGATGAACTGTGGCTGGCACGCTGGGCACGGGAAGCTTGGGCAGAGAAGCCTGGAAGCTGTAGAGCATGGGTCGCCGACTGGATAGAAGGCGGACACAGATCTGGGGGTACAGAGCCGAGAATGTCAAAGTGGAAGCTGGAGGAAAGAATGGAAACTAGCAACCACTTGAGAAGCTGCCCCAGACTCTCGGAACCAGGACAAACCCTGCCAGCCACCAGTGCCCTGCCTGGCTGTCCCCTCCAGCTCAGAACCCAAAGTGAGGCCCTGGGCGGTCTCAAACCAGATGCCTGAACCCCTCCGCCAGCTTCTGCTCACAGCCCAGACTTTGGTGAAGCAGCTGGTCTTGCCATGCATCTCAAACATCCAACCGTGGTAGGACAGCAGCAGTTTCAGGGTTTGGCGGAAGAAGAAGATGCCCATCATCCAGACCCCCGTGGAGAAGACAGCCATGCTGAGAAGTGCTCGGGTCTGTGGGGTCCGGTAGGGGCCACATCTGTCAGAGAAGGGGGTCCACTCAAGAACAGCCCTGGGGAAATTCTGATTCTGCTGTCCTGATGGATGTGAGCCATCTCACGGGAGGCGCCAAGGAGAAAAGCCTCCCTGGACTCACATCTGAGCCGCTGAGTGCATCACACGTGAACTTACAGAAGTGGGACTGAGATGATGGTTGCCCTCAGGTGAGGGCTGCCCCATGACCTCCCGTGGCTGTGGTCCCATATCTGCCCATCAGGAACCCTGACCATGGAGCCCACCCAATCCTCTCATGGCCTGGCTTCTTACCTTTCGGGAAGACATCTCTGGATATAACAGACTAGCCCTCTGGAGATATCCACGTTGCAGTAGGAGGAACCCACTGTTGTTATGACGACAACCAGCCAGCTGGTGGGGCTGCCAGGATACACGCCCCTGAGGATGCCATTCTGTGGGCCAGAAACAAGCAAGCTCACAGAGCAAGGACTGGGATAAGCAGCGCCTATGAGTTCTGCCTGGTTTTACTCCTCCTTCATGTCTGGTGTCTCCCCTCCACACTACCACACCTGCAGCACCTGGTTACTCAGTGTCCCACTGCCACTTCCTGTACACCTGTCTCCCCTCCACACCTTGAGCACCCCTCTGGTTTCTGCACTGCTGGAGCCTGTCACCCACCAGAACTGCCAACCAAGGTGGGGGTGGAGGACCCCGAAATGGGCAGTGGCTCACACCTGGCTCCTGCATCCCTGGAAGGCTCTATTCTGCACCTGCTGGGAGGAACAGACCAGAACCACCTGCGCCAACCTTGATGCGAATCAGGCGTTTCTTCCAGGAGTTGATGCCGGACAGGTAGATCTGTTTCAGGGCCTCCCGACTGAGCCGGAAGTCGACCCCTTCTGGGGTCACGGTGAACTGGAAGGCCACAGCCTGGTGTGCTTCCGCCATCCTGGGGGTTGGTGGGCACCTGGGAGGCGGCAGGAGGGTGCGCGGGCGGGCTCATCCAGCCCCCGCTGAAGCCCCCCCCACCCCCGCCGCTGTCTACGGCCCTGCCTGCCCCTCACCCCGCTGAGCCAGGTCAT